TTATTATTATTATTATTATTTATTTATTTATTTTTTAAAGAAAGGGATTCGATTTAATAAGAGTATAATAAATGGTTACAATAGTATTAAAATATATATATATACACTAATAATACAAATTCAAAAGAAAAACAAAATATACATATATATAATATATATAATATATAATGAACTACTAATAAATCTATAAAGCCTAAAAATCAAATAATAAACTAAAAATCAAATTATTATTATTATTGATTATCATTATTATTTAAATCGTTTAGATCAGTATTTTATGTATAAATTGCTCCTTTAAGTTGAGCACTATGAAAAATTATTCTTCAATATTAAGTTTGTGTAGATAGATAGATTGATAGATTGATTGATTGATTGGCTAAAAGGTAAAACTTAAGTCGACCGTAGCCTTCGGCTAGTCCGACTAATAAGAGGAATTTGTACAGTAAACTTTGTATTCACCGAAGGTCGAGTTACTCCATCTACGTCATCAACCCAGGCTCCCTGGCGCTCGGCCAAAAATCATTTTGCCCGGAACAAGCATACAAATATAGAATTTGGAAATTCAAATTTTTTTATGTGAATTTGTGGTTCATACCTCCTTAACTTTTTTTCCAAATGTAAAAAAATTGGCTGAGGTGGACTTTAACTGTCTTCTGATTGTCAAGGGTAAGATCATTATCACCCTTACAATAAAAATGCCCATTAGAGAGCTGGCGGAGAGCCTCCTGCTTTTTACAGGTCGGTACGCCAAACAACAACAGCACCACCTTTGTTGGCGGGCTTATCTTAGGCTTATCAACTACTTTTTTACGGTGTTAAATTTATCTTTTTACACAACTACCAAAATAGACTTGCTAAAATATGCATGACAAGTCAAGCAAAACAAAAGCGTTATCCAGCAAATTCATCGCTATTTATAACCACAATTCATCGATCCACATAAAATTCATTTATATTATAAAGCTCAATTCTAACACGCGCGCTGATTGGAGGATTTCACGAGAAAAGCTATGATTTATTTCACCATTGTTAACTATGTTTTCATCGGTAAACTCTCCTGTTGTCTTGACGCCTGAACGGCTCGTGATTTACTGATCTTTTCTCGTGTTCTCTCAACCATCCCTCGTGGTTTATTTCGCCAGTAAACCGCTTCAAGAAATCGTTTATTTCTTAAATAAATATGTAGTTTACAGAGAGAGAATGATCTCAGCCTTCATGTGAAGATTGAAGTTCCTCGCGTTTGTCAAGTCGATTGCCCCTTTCACGAGGTCACGGTTGGTTGAATGTTACAAAACATTCAGTGAATTCAACGAAACGTACTAGACAATGACGCTTTTACCGAGCACAACTACATGCTGGCAGACTGATCTCTCGATATATCGCAGTCAATACAATCATTTTAGAGAGCCGTACTTCAGGTTTTCTAGTCCAAATCGGCACCAAATCGGTACGTAATATGTTGGGTAAATGTTGCAATATTTATTCAAGAATTACGTCTCGAAAGTAAAGTGAAATAGATATTAAGCCATACAAAAATTCCTGTATTCCAAAAGCTTGAATTATATTCCAATTACATAGCAAGCTTAAATTATATATGAGAGCAAAATTTCTCAGTAGATTTGCTTATAGATGTTCGGTAATGTTATTATACTGTAGCTTTTATTGTCGAGTCGCAATGATTTATATTCAAAATCCTATCGATCTGTACGAGTTAAAATAGAAATATGTTTATAAGTCAAGTAAAATCAAGCTAACCTGAGTTGAGAAATGCTATTACTGATCACAGCGCTGCTTTACCAGTAGCTTGTACACGCCATAGAGGGTTCAACACAACGTTTATCGCGCATGGTTGTCTTCTAACTGGTCAGCGTTGTTTTTGATTACAGGTATCCCCACAGGTAACCCAGACTCAATAACTTGGTATAAAATATGCAACTTCTCGTACCCAGAGTCTTCGTTCTCTTGGCCAGTACAGTTGTGATCTGGTCTTTTACTTGGTATTTTCAACAATAACACAGTGAAGCACTGATTATTGCATTATGTAAAATTGAATGGAGCTCTAGTTCAGCAAGACAAAACAAAAAAATTAGCATAAAACTGCTTAAAAATAGTATAACGACCTTTTTACATATGTAGTGTTTTATTAAGGCTTTAAATTAAGTAGAGCACGTTTTCCCTGCGAGAGCGGCTGACGTCCTATTGGTTGCTTTCGAYTRTACCCTCCCCCGCCTCGTCTCGCAATTGTTGAGCAATGTCCCCCGTAGATTTAAAGTGTTTATTGACTCAGTTTTGTTAGAAATCAGCCAATCCAATTTGAGAATACTCTCTTCTTTGGGACCACTGTGCCTCCGGACCAAATAGTCAGCAGTACTTTAGTCCGAATATTAGAATTCAACGGACGATAAAAATAACTTCCCGAAAAGCAATTCATTGACGAAGAGCTTCAAAAGAATCCTTGGACATTCATGTTTATTGTGGAGCAGTTAAATGTGGACAAAAGTATGGATTTTGACAAAAAGATCGAGTGCAAGTACAGTTACTGTTGGAAATCTTTGCGTGCAGTTTCCGACCTTGTATTAATATAAGTAGGTTATACAATGGCATATAAAAAATGGCGTAAAACCTCTTAAAAACGAAAGATTTTCAACCAGGAAGGTAAGAGACCTTTTATTTATGTTAGAATAATCTTATTTAGGCAAAAAAAAATTGTGCGAACGACATACTTTATACTAAGTTATTGAGCCTGGGTTACCTGTGGTATCCCAAGCTCCAATCCTAGACATTTACGTGAAGCATTGCAACGTGTGAGGGACGGCGGAGCAGGGAGCCCCCCAGTAATTTTTTCGACATTTTGAATTTTCTTAAATAAAGAAGCGAAGAGCCTCCTTATGAAATTTCACCATATATATTCTATAAAAATTGTGTAAACACTGAGCGTGAATAATTAAAATTGAAGCTTTTTTGCATGCGAAGTCTTTGGGATTTTATTGATAATATCTCTGGCCGTGCGTACGGTAAGCATGTCTTGGATAACGCTGGAAATGACATTTCTAAGAGTTAAGATTCTCAACATTTCCGAACCCCGTTATTGTTTGTTTGTTTTTTGTTTTGTTTTTTTTTTCTGTTATTTTTTTCTTTTTTGTTTTTGTTTTTGTTTTGTTTTTTTTGTTTGTCTTTTTTGCTGTTCTCGTCAGGCCCAGTGGGGCTGATTAATTGCGTTATTGTATTTCTTATACACCTACTTGCAGAAACGTTGTCAGAGAAAATAGAACATTTGAATTTAGTAAAAAAGAATAAATTAAAATAAGACAAAAGAGAGCGTTCAGCGTCAGTGATCTTCTTTTGTCTTTTGATTTATTCCTTTTTACTAAATACAAATGTCCTATTTCACAACGTTTCTGCAAGTAGGTGTATTTCTTAGATCTTCGAGTTCAGTAAGCGTATAAAAAAATACCCATTAGTATCTTATACTAGTCATTTGAAACCCCCGACCCCCGGGAAATTCCGGGGAATTTAACGTTTGAGTGGTGTTAAAATAGGACATTTCCCCCGGTAGTCGGGGGCACATTCATTGTTAAAATCCCCGCTACTGTTGCCCCTTTCAATCAATTTTCTGTGACACACAGGGTTAGTTTTTGTACAATCCTTTGTACTAATTTGCGTACTACATAAGGCTAACTGGATAGCCTGAGTATCAAGCTCTCTCGAAGGGGTTTGGGGCGGAGCGAGAAAGGAGAGAGAGCCTGACACAATCTTCTATCAAGAGCCGTTCCGCCTCCTTGCAAAGCGTGACGCGTGACAATAAATTTCAGCCAATTAAAAGCTATTCCGGTTTGCTTGATTTCTCGATGTGGCGGTTATATGTCAAAATTTATTTGAAAAGTCGCAGCTTTTATGCCGATTTTTACCAGATTTTCAACTTGTGGACGTCTAATACACTCTAGAGGATTGATCACTATAATCTTGAATTGTTTTACTCCGTTATAGGTCGGTGTAATGTTAGTGTTATATGAGACGTTTCCGTTAATCGGTTTGTTTTTGTACGCATAAAAACAAAACAATTCAAGAACGGCTTGATAACGTAGTAAAAAAAAACAATAAAAGACAAGCCTCTGCAACCAGGTTACTATTAAAGCTTTCCCAAACTGTTATTCACTTATATCAAGAGTCATAGCGTCGTTCGGTAACATAATAATTATATATATTTTAATTCCTGTCACTTCCTTTGTCCTCTAGACCAATCAGCGTTTCGGCCATGAAACGGCCGCCGAACACGGCTCTCGATAGAAGATTGTGTCAGGCTCTCTCTCCTTTCTYGCTYYGCCCCAAACCCCTTCGAGAGAGCCTGATACTCAGGCTACTAACTGGACGGAGAAAAACATGGATAATAAGTTTAATCTTTTAAAAACTTTCATGCAAGGTAGATTCCAGCCTCATAAATGCAGCCGCAAAGGCGCGTTAAAATCCCCGCTCTAGTTCGGATCACACTTATTGGGAATAAAGTTTGGCGCCTGGATGGCAGTTTTCGTTGGGTTAACCATCCGCCCCGTGCAAACTTCATGCCGGATACACAGGATTCAAATCGCGCTAGCAAACAGAAGAAACACTTTAAAGTGGTCTGGGTGTAAATGAAGCGTTATGAAAAGATAGCTAACCCGTTACCACCATCCAATGTAAAGGACCAGCCACTTCTAAAAGTTCCACTTCTATAGGCCAGCAAGGCGGGGCATTGCTTACTTACTGCAGCTCGCGTAACTTAATTAGGGTTTTTCATTGCGGAAAAAGACCGAAAATGATTCAGTTAACTGTGATTCGAAAACATTGCGTTCAGTGAGTAATGATGCCGCCTATCCCCCTAATGAGTCCCAAATGACAGCCTTTCTGATATAAACGATGCTAATAGTAGATTTAATTTCTATGATGATTTACTACTGTATCAAAATCTCTGCTTCTACATTTTTGAACACTAGTCCCACCCCCCCCCCCCCCCGAATCCCCTCCCAAACATTTTGGGTCCACCCTCGCACTATTTGGAGGTCTGTTAGTTATCATTTTAATCTACACACTTTACAACAGTCTTGTCTATTTCCAAAAAATTCAGCAACCAATCACAGTCTGGCGAACAGCAAGCATTGGCATTTGGAATCTTGTCAGCTTGAACATCGTCTTGGATACCGACGACATCTTTCCATTGATTTCTCCATCCTTTGTCAGCATTTGCACCTTTTAGGAAAAGAATGTCAGTTGCAGTTGCAGAGGTAATCATGTTAACTGGTTATAAAAACATGGTGTCCGTTTCAAAAGCGGGTGACCCATGAAAACAGTTTCACTGCACAAAAAGATACAAAGTAGAGAGAAAGAGAGAGTGATTTCCCCCATCATCTGCCCTAATGAAAAGAGTGACTGCTTGAAAGGATCCGTTCGATTTCGATCGTTCCTAGATATGGGCAGTTCAGTACAAGAAGAAATCGGACCCCAGATGGATATGGAAATCCAGTTCTAAAGAAATCAAGCCCTAATTCAGCGGTAGAGCTGCTCAATGTACCTAGGGAGCAATCAAAGGTAGGTTTCGATTGTGCTGTATTACTTATTTATTTGAATCATAATTTCTATATTTTGGAGCTATCTCAATCACCCCCTCCCAGTGGATCCGCCTTCGATTGTCAATATAATTAGGAAAAACGCACGTTTGCTTGCATTAAAATAACTATAAACGTCTTCATAATTACCTTGAGAAACTTTGCTTTGAGTCAGTTCCTTCAACAATACTTTATAGTCTGCTGGTTCTAAGAAAAATGAAAGAAACCACACACACCACTCTATATAGAGCCTAAAAAAGATGTAGCCGCCATTTTCATTTCTATTATTGCTTACTGTAACATACAGTGGGGACTGCTTTTAGGATGCGCCCTAAGTTCCCTTGGGAATAGTCTTGGCTTCACGGTTACGTGCTCCATTTCGAAGAGAGACAAACGTTGTGCGTGCAATGATAGATAATTGTGAATAATTATCTGACGCTTGTGAAAAAAGGATTCTATCATTGCACGCTCAACGGTCGTCTCTCCTCTCGTTGCAAAGGCACGGCTTCCTTTCAAGATGGTGCAGAGAGAACCGTGAAGAAGATTATTGTTCTAAAAACTAAACGCGAATACTCCAGTTTCGAATTCTCCAATGCTCTGTGTTAGCCTCATTTGTGCGCAAAATATTTCTTATTGTGAGCATAAAAGTGTGAGATTTCAAATCAAATTGATTGTCTTACTTCWCAAAATTCCATGCGTTTTCTCGAGCTATCAATGAAACAAAAGAATATGTTACATGGGTTTGAGGCTAACACAGAGCAAACCAGAACTCGAAATTGGAGTATTGAATTTCATCCTCATCTGGTGGTAATCAAAGAAGTTTTCATAAAGAAGTTCCAGACGTTGTACCTGCTGGTTTCTTAATCTCTTTTTTCAATTCTTCCATTGGGATTTGTGTTTTTCTATTTATCTCATTCAACACTGGAGTAAAATGTGATTGTTCTACGTCGACGTTGTAATCTTTGAGGACTTTAATCACTGCCAGAGAATGACATTTCATCCCTATGATAAAGATAAAGAGCTCACTGACAAATGTTACAAATGACTACTAGTTTCCGCTATAGTTTACAGTGTCGTCTCGGCGTACAATATGTAAGATATAAAGCCTACTCCGGGCCAGAAAGTTGTCTTAAGTCGCCACAACTTGAGGTAACTTAAGGTGACTTAAGAAAAAATGAGGTTAAATTTGGCGGGGCACTGTGGAAGCTTAAAGCGGCGCGTCTTAAGGCGACTTAAGGAAATTTGGATGATAATTAGGTGGGGTCCCTTGGCGACTTAGGGCGTCTTAAGGCAACTTTCTGGCCCAGAGTAGGTCTTATAAAGAGTCTCGCTAAAACATTCACTCAATCAAACACAATTGAACAAGTTATACAAAACGTTTGTATGCGACGTTGCGAGTCATCTCCAGTTTAAACAAACCTCCAATTTGGTAAACCGTGAACGCCCCAGGACCCCCACAGCAGAATTTCTTTTCACACTCAGGCTTGTTAGTGGCATGACCTGGGCAAGGAGCTGTGCAATCATGGACAGAATCATCAGCCAACATTGTCGTACTATCGTGTTGTGGACCTATAGTCAAATAGTTGCAATTAACTCTCGAACATGATTTGTAGAATAACTTATTGAAATTTCTAGTTTAAGAGCAAAATCAAGAGGAACAAGAACTGCTCTCTAAGAGTACAAATTTGTACTCACATGGTACTAAGCCATGGCGCTGTATTGCAAAATACCCACTGGGATGTTCAAAACAAAGAAAAGTCAAGCTTGACGAGCTGCTTTCCTTTTAATTTGTGAGGTTGTTTACATCATTTTGCCATCCAGATGGCGGATTTAGTACCATGTGACTGCTTCATGCAAAAGGCCAATTGCAAGGCTAACTTTGTTTAAATCGGCCGTGCACTTTTTCTAAGGAACATTCCTACTAGAATTTATGCCGATCTACTGTTGCCAAGGGTGGATACGGTAGGGCGAAAGGTCCAGAGGACATCCTTTTACTGCCGCAGATATCATTTTGAAACAGCATTTATGTGAAATGCAAAGTGGCAAAACAAATTTGTACTCTAAGGCCTATTCTGTTGCATACCCGATAATTCCTTTTCAGGATGGTCTTTTAAGCAGCCACAAGTATCATCATGAGTGGCTGAAAACATGTGCTTCATGTCATAGCAATACTTCTGGCAAGCAGCATTCGTATTATCGTCAATAATAGTATTGTTGAGCAGCTGAAGATTTTTGCCCAAGAAACATCCAAAGTGTACAGGTGTCGGACGAGGAACTTCTTCAGTCTCCACCGCATTCCTGCGAAAGGTGCTGGCTTCTTTAGGGACTTTACTTATAAGTGACTTGAATAAAAATCGAGGATGGAATTTTGCTTCAGCTTTACTCCTTATGAAATAAAGAAATGCTAGTCAAAGGCCAACGTGCATTCGAGAAACTTTGCGTGATTTTTACATAAAGGTATGCATAAAAAAATCGCCATTCGCTTGTGAATGAGAAATTCGTCGGTTTTGTATACTTACCAACAATCGCAAGCAAGTAACGCAATCACTAGGATTGTAGAGATTTTGACTGCCATTTCTATATGAAGAAAAACATTCAATTAATCAATCAACCATGGCTAAAATCAGTCTATCAAAAAAAGAAGTGTCTATTGACTTATTGCATTAAGGCCGGGGGCCTAATTTATCAAAATTTCAACCGTGGCGTTAATTCCGCTGGCTCGGTATCTAGGTAAACAAGCCAATACTTGACAATAATCTTATATTGGCATTGCATTGTTGTAAACATATTAAAATTAATATAATTAATCTCATCAATTAATAGAATTATTGGTTGCATCAGCCATATTGAGAAACTAAAGACTACGACTTTTCCCGCCAAAAAAGCGGCAAATGCATGATTCATGTGTCAATCGCAAGTGGCGAAAAAAATTCGAATGTCTCGGGGGGAGTCTGTTTCTCGATAAATTCCAGTTACAATAATTGACATATAGCTCGAATGATTGACGCTACATCGGGAATTCCCGAACATTTCCATGACAAAGCATCTACATTCAACTCTCGCCTTACGGACACCCCGCTACAACGAATACCTCGATATTGCGGACAGTAAAATACTGAATCCCCAGCGAAAAATACAAAGAAATGATTGAAAGTATCTCTCGTTACTGCGGACACTAAATTACGGTCCCGAGAGTGTCCGTAATAGCGAGAGTTGACTGTATTAGCAGGCTCCAACTCTATATATCTGAGCTGCAGGAAATCAGACGGGAGCGTCGCGGTGACAAGCATAAATAGACACTATATGAGTGTATCAAGTGGGAGGCAGGCTTAAAATAATGACTTACTTTTTTTTGGCGACACCTTCAAGGGCGATATTCAAGGTTATAACTCCTCAACGCCAATTAAACGTGTGTGCTTTGCCAGCTCAGTAACGCCATTAATTATTTAACCAAGACAATATCTGCTGTCACATATTATAAATATACCAGATAGGTGAAGTACTGGGGCAGGTGCTTCATTTCAAAATTGTTTCGTTTGGTTGCAATTTGGACATGTAAATTAGTGTAGATCATACATGGGAAATGATTATCATATTACAGATATTGTATTTGCTGTTGTCATGTTCATTGAGAAGCGGGGTCCCTGTTTTAAATGTTCATTCATTAATGTCGTAGGCCTCAATAACCTGACCACTCGTACCGGTCGTACGGCCCGGTTTTTAATAGGATTTTAAAGTTCGTCTCGACGGAAACAAAATAATGTTTCCAAGAAGAAAATGCATTGTTGGTCGGTCTATCGTTGTCAAAAGGAGCTTTCGTGGTTTCATATTATGTATACCATAACGGACTATACCAGCTCCGTAAAGTCAAGAACTTCAGTGGACAGCAATTACGTTGAGAAATAAAATGTCATTTTTTAACGGGCATGGAGCTTTTTAAAATTATTGCATTGCAGTCTTGGAATGCACTATACAGGTTTCGATTTCTCTAGTTTTTATTTCATTTAAGCCGGCTTTTCTCCATCAGCTTAATACTATTGTGTAGATTTGATGACTTAAGCATGTTTAAATGGTAATTTTAAAGCATCGTACCTAGACGTCGCAGGGGGCGAATACAGGGGAGTTGCCAGGGGGACAGTGACAGCTCCAGAATTCAGTGCAACTATTTTATTTCATTATGACGTCACTTCAAAATATTCAACACTTAGGATTATGGTAACTAGAGGGGATCAAAGTGACTGCATATCAATAAAATATACATAGTGAACAATCTTTGATACATGACATATATTAAAACACGATAGATTCATGAAGTTGTACTTGGGGTTGAATATAAATTGATCCAAATTTCCACAATTTTTTTTAACATCTTTCACTTGACTACTACGTGCTCAAATCGAATAAATGATCTTATATTATTGGAGTGTTTTTAATAAAAGCGACAAAAATTAGAGCGATCGCACTTAAACCGTGCAACGTCTGTGCAAACTAAAGAGTGTATAATAAATTGAATCGATAAAATTGAAGCATTCAATACCGTCTTGCTTCAGGTCCACTTTTAGGTAATAGATACAATATTCGCGTGCGATCTGTATGAGGATTTAAAACAGCGAGCTGTTTTTTGTTTTTTAAAAATATTACTTATGAAACGTTGAGGTAAACTAGCTCAGGTATTAAAGAAACTTTTGAAAAAAAATTCAATCTCACCGAGAAAATCAGAGTTGAAGCTTATGCAAATGAACAAGAAATCTGTATGTAATATACAACTCTCTTCATGGGCTATGATTTCTATTGTGTTTGCCTTATGAATAAATACAAATTAGTACTTCTTAGATTTTGTACAGTTGAACGATTTAAGTGTGATCGCTCTAGTAATGCTATTTTGTACTATGTTATCCTAATTCTTTTGTTTATCTACAGTGCTCGCACTTAAAGCGTGAATCAAATAGCATTAATTACTACTAAATAGTGTTGATTATACAATAGGAAACAAAGTAATTTATCACCTATTTTGTAGTATTTGTATTTCACGCATTTAGTGCGAGTGCTTTCAGTATTTGAAAGCGTGAAACACTAATAACTAAATTGTTCAGAATAGTACTAGTTGAACAAAAGAAAACAAAAGAATTAGCATGCAAAAATGGACAAAAAAGTATAACTAATGTTTCACGCTACCTGTGACTGATGTCCAACAACAGCGTCTTCAATGTGATTTTCATTGTCACTGTCGAAGTGTGATTCTCTCTTAGTGCTCGTCATCACGGCGGAAGCATTTGGTCGAGATTCAACTTGTTGCTGTTTGTACAAACCTTCTCCTTCGCGTCTGTGCTACATGTTTCCCAAAAAATCATGGGAAGAGGAGGTTACGGTGTAGAATCCTAGAGTTACCAACGTGGTCTTCTCTTCTAACCTGCATACTTAGTCTTCCTAGGAATCTAAGTTTACCTTGTCCCCCGCTCTGGGGGCAAGGTTGCGCACTAGCACACGTTATCCTTCGCAAAGCCCCGTGAAGTTGAGGCGTCTGTCGTGGTACGTCTTGCTGTTCGACTGTCAATGAGCTACTCTCTTGCGAGTCAAGTCGTAAGCTGACTGCATTATGGCGGGATTTCCATCGCTTGACAAATTCGGTATGGCAGGTTGAGTCGTCGATCTCTCTGCCTAGTTTCCTATCCACCGTACGCATGTACAAGTTTCTTTAAAGACTCCTTCCATCTAGCCAGAGTAAGGCAGTTTTCTTAGCATTCCAAGTAATAAAGCCGTCTGGTTAAATCGTTCGGTCTGTCCATTCCCCGCGGGTGGTAAGGACTTGTTCAGTTTCTTGAGTTGATATCTGTTCCGATGCGTTGCTCGCGTCCATCACTTTGACAAAAGGACCAAAGGAAAGTTGCCAATGCACCCTCCTCCACATGCTCATCTATCATCGTTTTCAAAGTCTGTCTTAACTTACGGACTAGTTGTGTCTCTACACGCATATCTACTTTAAGGTGATATTATTGGAGTGTTTTTAATAAAAGCGACAAAAATTAGAGTGATCGCACTTAAACCGTGCAACGTCTGTGCAAACTAAAGAGTGTATAATAAATTGAATCGATAAAATTGAAGCATTCAATACCGTCTTGCCTCAGGTCCACTTTTAGTACAAATCAGTACTTCTTAGATTTTGTACAAGGAAAGTTGCCAATGCACCCTCCTCCACGTGCTCATCTATCATCGTTTTCAAAGTCTGTCTTAACTTACGGACTAGTTGTGTCTCTANCTTGACAAATTCGGTATGGCAGGTTGAGTCGTCGATCTCTCTGCCTAGTTTCCTATCCACCGTACGCATGTACAAGTTTCTTTAAAGACTCCTTCCATCTAGCCAGAGTAAGGCAGTTTTCTTAGCATTCCAAGTAATAAAGCCGTCTGGTTAAATCGTTCGGTCTGTCCATTCCCCGCGGGTGGTAAGGACTTGTTCAGTTTCTTGAGTTGATATCTGTTCCGATGCGTTGCTCGCGTCCATCACTTTGACAAAAGGACCAAAGGAAAGTTGCCAATGCACCCTCCTCCACATGCTCATCTATCATCGTTTTCAAAGTCTGTCTTAACTTACGGACTAGTTGTGTCTCTATGACAAAGCTGTCCACGTATATCTACTTTAAGGTGATCTCCATGTTCCTCTAGTTTTGTCGTATCTAAAGTGTACAGGCGTAGTCTTCAATCTATAGTAGAAGATCCTCTTCAATAGACTCTGACATCTGGCTTGAGAGCTTTCTGTCCAATTGATTATCTTCTGTGTTTCCCGTTTATAAATGAGTCCAATTTCCACTCAGTTTGGAAGACATTACTAATTTGTACAAAAATTGGACCTGAAGCAAGATGGTATTGAATGTTTCATTTGTATCAATTCAATTTAATGTGCGTACCGCATGCACGTTTCAATAAATACAACTAAATAGCACTATTTAGTTTGCACAATTGCACAGTTTAAGTGCGATCCCTCTACTGAAAGCACTCTATTTAGGAAAAAATGTAACAAATATTTACTTATTTATTCAAATAATYACTCAAAAATAGCATGAAATAAAATAAAATTAAATAAGAGAGCTCAATCAAGAGGAACAGGCAACGTCTGTTCTGCTACATGACGTAGTTTATTTGATATAGAAATAAATATAACATATAAATATAGATAACCTCCTTCCTAGCACTATAACACAGTGACATGCGGTCCTTACAATTCATTTTTTTATTTAATTTTTCCTGTAATGAGTTTCCGATCCGAGATTTTGACAAACAATTGTAGACCTTCACTAGTAACTTTTAACTAAGACAAAACACTTCCTTTACACTACTAAAAGAATTGACCACCTGTCGAATTACTCTTTTACAGACATTTAGATCCTTTAGTACCCCAGAAACGCTCTTTTTTTTGTTAGGAAATTTGCAGTTTCCTGGAAAAAGTTTTTAAAATGTACTATAATCTTGCTGGCAACCACTTGTTAATTACATCTGCCTGGGATATAAGGACAGACATATTTCTCCCAGGGACCCGTTCAGTCCCGTTGTACTAAATTGATGCCAGGAAAATGGAGAAAATAACGTTGGAATTTGAAGTATCTATTTTCGCGATAGATACCAACAAAGCTTTACTGGTTAAGAGTTTGTCTCTTTTCATGGTTACTGACCAGGTACTGTGCAGGATTACAAAAAATGTAAATCCATAGTTGTTACCTGTCTACAAATATTTCCCGTGTGTTGGAGTGTCATCAAGCTACAATAGCCTATAATGTAATCAAAGTGTTTTAAAAGAATGAAAGTAAAACAATACTAATAGATACGAGAACATCTCAGCACTGGGATCGATCGACTCATTTTATTAATTTGTATGTCTGGTTCCCAACCTATAGCAAGTTATATAACGTCATAAAATGTCACCTGTTTAGTGTGATGCTTGAATGAAAGTGCGAAATATTTGTGACCTAATTTTTGATTATGTGAGGGTAATATATATCTCCCACGTCTACAAGGTTCAGTTCAATAGCCACAGCGTTCRTCCACACAGGTACGTCCAAGCAGTTTAATTTAAGGTCATTGTCTATATACGGCATAATGAAAGTGCTAGTGCTAGGCAACTTCACAAAAAATATCAGCGATGATATCCCATAATTTCTGATATGTTATATATACTTGAAATACAGCCTTTTGCACAAATTATGAGACATTTTTATATATATAAATATACCTAACCAAATATCAAAAACACCCCAGAAATTATGGTATATCTCTATTATATTTTGTCATGATTGCCTAGCATCAGGTTGTTACAGACAAAATATCAGCGACGGTATCCCATAATTTCTTGGGTGTTTTTGATATTTGGTTAGGTATATTATATATATAAAAATGTCTCATAATTTGTGCAAAAGGCTGTATGAGTCAAAAAGATCATAATTTCTGAATATTGCTGTATAAGCAAATCGAAAGCAGTTGCTCCCAACTGTTTTTTTATTACTTGTGCTATTTTGATTTTGTATATTTTCACGAATTAGATGTTTTCACTGTCAGTTGCAATTGTTTGATTGTAAAGCAAATACCGTAGATTGCTGAATTTTTCGTTGACCTGGAGCAATTCCTACTAGCCAACCATCAATACATACACGCTGTTAACTAGCAATAGGGTTCGAAAACGATAGAGTCATTTTCACCCGTCTGTGAAATAGGATTTGTACTATTAAATACTATATTACCCCCTATTAGCTCCCAATAGTTTAACTAGTTTTTATGACATGCGACAAACTAATTAGGCAAAAAAGGTTTTGATTTTTCCTTTTGGTAGCCTACTACACCCTAATATAACTATATAGTTAATATTAAACACTGACTTGTAGTAATTGTTTCACAGACGAATGAGAAAGTGACTCTACCTGGTTTGAAAAGCACAAATACTGTAAAGCGTGAAAAACTACTGACCCAATAGTGCTAAATAGCGCAATACAATGTTGATAAGACAATAGAAATCAAAGCGTTCGCATAATTCAGTACCATTTCGTATAATTTTAGCGTATTCGCACAGCGCGGTTGATTTGTGCTTGCAATTGGAAATCTCACATCCTTTGGACATCATAGAGAAATTTCTTTTTCTTTAATAACATTAGAAGAACAGTATTTGTCAAATATAAAACCGTACATAGACTATTTGCATTCTGAATTATAACATTAAAACCAGAGGCCTAAAAACTTGGAAGAATGACACAAAAAATATGAGATGGGGCAATACCCTTCCCTTTCCCCGAATTATTACCGAATCTTTTTCTCCACCTTGGCTATTCATCCTCCCAATTGACAGACATATTTTTGGAATATCACACGTAAAAACTTAAAACATTAATAAACCTAATCTTTGTCTGACTGGAGTTTATCTTGAAAAAAAAAAAAWAAATAAATAAAAAAATTAGATTAAATTTTTCGTCACCCGCATAAATATTTGTCACCTGCCATGAAATTCTCGTGATAACAGTCAGTAGTATATTGTGTCATTATAGATAACCTGTTCAACGGTGTTGTCACTTGTAGTGAAGTGCAGTGTTTTTTCAAGAAAGAGGTTAGTGGTTTACCATAGGTGTTTGTGATAAAAATCAGACATGATATTAATACTTTTTGATAACATAGTGCGACTTATTATAGGTTAATTAACTAAATTTTCGACAATTAAAATGCGACTTTTGGCATCACATGAAAGTGATTGAACAATACTGGTCTTAAATAGAAGATAAAAGCAAAATTTTTCCATATTTTTTTAATTTTGTTTATTAGTTCTGTATTTTCTTGTTTTGTTTTGCTTTTTTGTTTGTTTTTGCTTGTTATTGCTTGCTTTTTTTTGTTTTGGAAATAAAACGAGTTGATTATATATTATAGTCCACGTTTAATTTGCTCCAAAGCAGGAAATTGTGCACATACATCGCTGTACGTGTACATAGTAACGTCCAATTTTGTTTTAATTTCTAGACTAAATTTTGAGATCCTTTGAAATATGGCAATCAAAATATGGACGATCCTACTCTTTGCTCCACTTGTTGGCCTTTGCTTGTAAGTATTGGTTAATCTTATACTTATATATAATATACTTTTAAAAGTTTGCTTTGATTTGACACACTATTCGCAGTGTTTAGAAGTAGTGTATAGTCTAGCATAGCAATATAGAGTCATAAATACTAATACCCTCTATTAGCTCCCAATAGTTTTACTTATGACATGCCACAAACTAATTAGGCAAACACGGTTTTGATTTTTCCTTTTTGGTAGCCTACTACACCCTAATAGCTACTATATTAAACACTGACTAGTAGTAATTTTTTCACAGACGCATGAAAATGACTCTAGTGTTTGAACTCTATATATTGATTTGGGTTTGAAGAAAAAGTCAAAAGAATAATTTTCGCTCTGTTCATTCAGATGTGACCAAACAATAGTTAAACAAAAGATTGTGCACGATCTCACTCGGAAAAAAGTGCACAAAAACCTAGCAACAAAAGGCTTTCTAACTATTTCTCTCTACAAACCATGATATATATGAACTCCATATTTTAAACAATAGGGGTAAAGCTGCAAGACACTTGACACTAACCAAACCCGTCATGGAGGCCTTGAAACAGGTCCACCTTGCTGCAACTCACACTATTAACAAGAGAAGTGCTGTGTCTGATCGTGAGGTCCCACCTCCAACACCATCATATTTTGGCTGTTTCTTGGGCTCAAATCTACAGTTGCTCAACAATACTATACTTGATGACAATACCAACGCTGCCTGCGAAAAGCATTGTTATTCCATGAAACGCATGTTTTCGGCAACTCACGGTGATGTATGCGGTTGCCTGAAAGCAGTTCCAAAAATGGAAATATCTGGTATGTTCTTTGTGTTGACGTTTTCCCATATTGTAATTACATGAAGTCTTCCATTTCAGAGGCGGATCAAACAGCACTGAGTTCTAAGGGTTTCACAGCTCTCGTATTTTATGCAATGTAAAAAACGTTTCATTATTTTCATTTAATTGAACATTACTCTATAAGAAAGTACTATAACACTATCAGAAAAAAATAAAACATCTAGACCGCGTTTTGAAAAATAAACATTCTCCGGCTTCAGTGATCCCGTTCATCGTAGCTCATGCATGATTCAGTCTTTTGTTCTATTGTTCTGTTGTTTTGCACTGTTCACTTTTCAAGTTTCTACGTGCGGTTAACTGACGATTTCATATTTAGGACTGGGAAAAGGCAGAGCAACGTGATCACGGAACGACACCATGAAAGTCAAAACATCATATTTATAAATCCACAGGCGGATTTAGACTGGTTCAGAGTTTCCGGGAACTTGTCAGATAAGAACAGGGATGGAAATAATACAAGAAGCGATACGAAAAGCCTGTACGCCCAGATGAAGGCTGAAGGCCTTGAGGAGCTTTTCCTTTATTTTTTCTAGATTTAAAGTCTCAATTGTTTTTGCCTTCTCTTGTTTCTGGTTTTCCGCTTCGTTTTGCCAATTTCTTTCTCTGTACTGTCTTTCAGCTCTTGACCTTAATCATTATATACACTTCATCAGGTCCAGTTCATGAAGAAGTGAAAAAAAGAGTGCCAGATTCCGTTCACGAGTGCCAAACCCCTTGTCCAGGACACAGTACTGATAAGTGTAGTGAAAAGCAATTTTGTTGTGGAGGCCATGGATCGTACACTGTGTACAAAGTTGGAGGTTTGCACAAAAATTCCTTCCATTTTATATATATTTTACTTGTTTTATGACACAGTAAATATCTTTTGACATACGTACATACAATTTTACAAAAAAAATTATTTCTAATTGTCGGATGCATGCACAAGTTTTGAGAAATTAAGAGAGAATGCTGTAGTTTATTTCACGGTTCTCCATGCGGCTATCTTGAGTATAACTGTGATTTTACATCGAAGTGAGACAATCAATGAGCGTGCAATGATAGACACCTGTGAAAAATACTCCATTTTTAAATTCAAAGCGAATAACCGCTGTTTTATTTGACAGCAGATTCTCTTACGAAAAGACCTTACAAACACAAAAGAAAGTACGTGAAATGCTATTGTTACAATAGCGCTGACAATGTACATTTCCCCCCCCCCCCCCCCCCGAATTGAGGCTAACCCTGTATTCCCCAGAGGTCTCATACCTTAGGTCTTATGGGAATACAGGGTTAGTCTCAACTCGGGTAAAATGCAAATTTTCAAGGCTATTGTAATAACGACATTTTCTTTTGTGTTTGGTGAGGTCTTTGCGCAAGAGAATCTGTTGTCCAATAAAGCAGCGGTTTTTTGCTGTTTATTTGAAACTGGAGTATTGTCTGTATTTGTGAGAGAAGGTTTCTATCATATTGCACGTTCACCGTTCGTCTCATTAGCCCATTCAAGATGAAGCAGGGAACTGTGAAAGGTATTTTACTTTTTTAATGTTTTCACTCAATTTCATTCTGTGCCTTGATTCGTTGTTTAGGAATGAGATTTCATACTGTTGCTGCTCTGTAAGTCTTACAAGATTTCAATGTGGATTTAGTCAAGTCTGGTTTCGTTTCTGCATCAAAGAAGACCGATGCTAGGCATAAAGTTTTGTCATCTAGTTTTCAGGATAAGTCATTGTGGCCAAAAGAGTGGACAGATACCGACGAAGACACAGGTGAGTGTTAAGGAGGTTGATGTTATGATATCTGAGGAACCAAATCCAGGGGCGTATCAAGTATTTTCATGGGGGGGTCCTTACATACCAAAATGTCACCATGACGTCATAGGAAGTCAATATGATGTCATATCAATCTATGGGTTTCACCCTGTGACCTCCACATCCCCACCCCCCGGATACGCCCCTGAAATCACTTCCTGAAAGTCAAATGCAAATGCAAGTAAGACATTGTGCAATATTTATCACAGGGAGAGGGGTTGAGAAATAAGCCAAAAAATCCAAAGGTAATTATCCCCCCCCCTCCCAGACGAGATAAATTACGCTCTGCCCCCTCCCCCGTGAATTTATTTATTTAATTATTATTCGCAAATAAAGAGTTGTCGCAAACCGTGGCACGCTTTTCTTGATACGTTTTCCACTTCAATAAGTATTTGGCCAAAAAGTAAGCATAGAATCTGACACCGTTAGTTTTTCAGTTTCCAATTAAAGTTCGTTGTTTGATTTGACAGCAGATTTCCTTGCGCAAAATTTTACCAAACACAAAAAGAAGTGACAGAATAGTTTCGTTATTACTAGACTTGAAATTTCCATTTTTCCAAATTGACACCAAGTCTGTATTCTCAAAAGGTCTAACGTTCAATCCTTCTGGGAATTCAAGGTTTGCCCGCATCTCCATGAAGAAGGATTTAAAAAACGTTAGACCTTTTGGGATTTTGCATTTTTACCCAAGGTGTTTTTGAAGACACCATTTTCGGATAGTCCAACAGTTTGTTGAGTTTGAACCATCACAATCTCGTGAAATTTGCGGTCAGTCGCCTGTTTCACATCTGAGTGTGTTGCAACCGCAGAACAAAGCTGAACCACCCTTATGAAACTGCTCCACCCGCTCATAGTAGAGTCAACAAATTACTCATTTTAACTCTTATTCTACCTTGACTCTATAGATTCTAAAGACTATAAGGATTTTATGAAACAAGTGGAGAAATGGGAGAAAGCACCGGGTAATGAATGCTGCTCACCGGGATGTAATTGGTTGCTTGACTTTAACGACCTATATACTGGCAATGGCGGCATAGTGAAATGCCATGATAGCAGCTGAATTGATAATGCCTGGAAATTAGAATCGGGAAATGAAATCACAATAAAGAAAAACATATCCCTTGATATTCTACGAATTCTTTTAGACTTGCTAACGGTCCTGTCTGCTAAAGGTGGGGCTAGGTTTTGGGGAATGCTTAGTGAGATTTCCTTAAAAAAAGAAACGACGGAGTTAAACCACCTGTAGCTAGTAATGCTACTACATGCATCAGCTTAGGGAAAATGGTATTTTAACTAAAATAGCAGTATAAATAATCAATGAGAATTAAGAGAACAAAAAAAGTTTGCGTGCGCCTAAAGCAAAGTACATTTCAATTAAAGAAACTACCGATTTCCTAGAAAGAAGAGCGAATGATAAATCTTGATTGAAATATTTGCAAATAGGTGGACCCAGCCGTGGACATGTGAGTTGCGACTGTGTTGACTTAAACACAACTTCAGTCAAATCTGTGATTGAAACAGTCGGAAGATACGACAGTGGCTCGGTACCGAGTTTATGCGTCGCGGTATATTGGAAAACACATGCAGATAGAGACCGTGATAGGATTCGTTGGAATCCCTATTCGACGCTTCACTGACTGAGTTCGACGTCTAAATCAAATGCGTTATTTATTTAATTTATTTTAGTAGATCATAATCTATAGGCCAAAGTTGATTCTTGTTTAATACTTGACACTTTTAATCATCATCCTCATCATCAGCGACATCATCATCACCACCACCACCATCATAATAATTGTAATTTTTTAACGAAAGCCGCTTATCCGACGGATCCCTGAACTCTAAACCTCATATCTCCATTTTTCAACTTAATTAAGTTCAGCTAAATACGCCTCCTTTCTCTACTGCGTAAATGAAAAAAGACATCTATTTCCTTTAAAATTAAGTAATTTGAAAAGCTTGAAGTACTGCACTTGTGATTCGGACATCAAAGGAATTGAATACGCGCGTCCTTAAGCTTCTTTTGTAAACTTGACTGGCACAATGATAACTGGGCTTGTGAAGAACATCTGTTTGAACCATGAATGTAATAAGCAACTCAAGAAAGAGTGTTTTCTTTCAAGCCTTAATATATAATTAAAAACCACACTCTTTCGGTTCGTTTTCCTTACAATGCAACAATATTGCCAAAAAATATAGACTGATTTGAGAAATAACTGACAATTGACATCACCGTTGGAAAATTGCATTATCTTGACAGGCCTCTTGCTCTTGCAGCATACAATACAATACAATTTTTCCATCGATGCGCAGTTGTTCACTAAGGAGCAATTGTTATTTAAATTCGTCAGGCGCTGATTTTAATGCAGTAGTCTATAGTCTATTACAAATGCATGATTCAGAAGCCGAGAGCTACGGACATCAAGATGAATCGCACGAACGAGAACTCTACAATGAACTCAAAGAATCTATGTGAAAGAGAATTCGTAGTACTAGTTAATGTAGACCACATCAGCGAACTCTGTGTAACGGGAATTGTGTTGACCGTATCTACAATTCCTCTTATTGTACTGTTGAACTTTCTAGTTATTTTCGGTGTGTACAAGACTCCATCTTTACATACACCCCAGCACTGTACTTCTATGTGGATTGGCTCTTACTGATTTTGGAACAGGAGCATTAACATTACCATTTTCGCTCCCTTTTCCTATCGCTCTTCAAAAGCGTTCTAATCTTTATTGTACCATTCTAGAGATAACCAGAGTGTTGTATGGATATTTCAGTGGTATCTCTATCACAACTCTAACATTAATAAATATCGTTATAGCTCTAAGGTATCATATGCGATATACCACTATTGTCACCATTCCTCGAGTTCTGTCTGCCCTGCTGTTTTGGTGGGTGTCGCCCATCTTTGCCGTGGCGACGTCCAATTGGGCTGGTTATTCGCCGTTTTTGTGGTGCTTTGGCATTGCCATCACAATATGCCTCATAGTTTGTAGTGTTAACAACTCTGTAATATTTGGAATTCTCCGTCGACATCAAAACAAAACAAGGCAAACCAAAACAACACAAGTATGCCGTTTCAGCGAAGGAAAACTTTTAGCAATATGCTTCGAGTTTACTTGCTATATATTCTCTGTTATTTGCCATTTTGTGTGACAATGATAGTTTCAACCATCAGAGGTAACGAAAAAAATAACACTGACTGATTACGTTTTGAGAGTTACAGCCAATTATTTAATGTCGTTGAATTCCTTGTTCAATCCAATATTCTACTGCATCAAAATGCATTCTATTCGCCGGCACGTTCTTGGTCTGTTACATCCAAAGATTCTTTCGGTTTTGCATATTAAAGTTTAGAAGTGGTAGCCGACCAGGTCTGTTCTTCTAAAAAGTGTTTTTCTCCTGGGAAAGTGATTTAGAATTAGAATTTTAAATTGAGAAACACTTTTCCTTACGGCCGTTAAAGCACTTGAGTATTTAAGAGATATTCGGGATTTTCCTTCTGGCAAATATCGTGAAGAGTCTCCTGGGAAAAATTTCAATTGCCTATACCTCTCCGTGATTAAAAGAAAATATTTCTGAATGTATTATAACTTTGCTGGCAACCAGTTGTGACTTACAGCTGGCTGGGATATGAGAGCAGATATATTTCTCTCAGGAACCTATCGGTTCCTCTTGAAGTGGGGCTTGTTTGAATTGACGCGGGCGTTAACGACAACTTTCGTAATTCAAACAAATTTTGAAGCAATCAGCTACAACATAGGAGATGGAAAATTCAATTCAAAAATTAGTTTTGAAAAGAAACACTGACGTTGCGAATATTTTTATTTTAACCATTTAAAATATAGCTTTAAATTGATTTATACAAGTTGAAACCCCACATCACTAAGCACAGACATTAAAAGTGTGCAATGTTTGGCAATATTTTAGGCCCTGCCACAAGAAAGGAGAGATTTTTATCCGCTAATATTGTTATCAGGATTTTCAGCTACTGTCCATGACAGACGCTCGGCGTCTCCTCTCACTTAGCACGATCTGATTTCATTGTTTTCTTTTGTGTCTATTGGACTACCACACTTTAAAAGTCAATTTTGTTTCACGGGTTTGATGACTTCACTCTAAACACTATTTAGTAGTAATAAGTAATATTTATTTCACGGATTTAGTGCATGTATTCTACTACTCATATCGCACAGTTTTAGCGTTTATACTCAATTACATTACCCTCATATAGCAAATAAATATTTTTTTTAGTGAACTCCATATTGTACATCATATCAGCTTCCGTGGCCAATATCTCTAATTTGATTAAAATATTCAACTTACCAATTGAAAAATTGAAATTGAAAGGTTACATATAATTGTGACTGATGTCCCAGTAGCGAATTTGAATAAGGACCCACACTACTAATTGTAGACAATGTCATTAGTTGACCATTGTATGAGATAATTTGATTTTGATTAAATTAGGGCCCAGACTACCCTCTGTCCATATTCTAAAATCCAAGATGGCGGCCGTTTTTTTGGAAATTTTGGCTATTTTGAACAAATCAATGTTAAACTTGACTAACATCTAAAATAATCATTTACCTATAGTATGATGTATTCGGATCACAATTTTCCATGTAAGTAATTGTTGCTTTTCATGCTATTTAACATATGTAGTATGCTATAATACACACGAATGACTATTTTAGATGTTGGTCAGGTTTTAGTGACAGAAATTAGTTGATATCATGACAAATTTCAATTTTCAAAACATAAACAAAAGCGCGCAAGTGTTCATGGTTCGGCCCTTTAAATCCCCTAAAAACACAGATTGCGCGTACCGCACTAATGTCTTTGATAAGGCTAACATTGACTCTCAGGTTCGTCCACGTCGTCTTCGCCGGAATCACTCACTACCAGCTGAGGACCACCATGAGACTTGTCGTGGCAGGAATGAGTTTTACACTCCTGCAAACAAAATTTGACTGCTTTAAATTTCCAACCAGGAGAATTATGGGATCTTGGCACGGAACGACAACACGCTATATAAGCATCCTCCACAGGCATCACTAAGAGTCACAGAGTCAACGGCTTTCCTGTCTTTTCGCTCGTCACTAAACTCTAACGATTAATATGACCGTTACTATGGAAGCCCGAAGGAGGAAAGGAGGAAAATTAACCTGGGGAGGATGCTAATGTTATACACATCTCCAAAAGGCCTGTTTATAAGATGGGCGCCAATACGAAGCACGGTATTCTGCCTGAAAATCCGGTAAAAACAAATCGCTCGAATATAATAATAAAGTATGGGCGACTTGAGAAAGTTTTATTCTTTGAGAAAAGGTCATTCTCCCTACGACATAAGTGCACACCTTTTCTATCAAAACAGGCCTTAAGAGCAATAAAACCTGTTAACACGAATACAACAAACAATGAAAACGAATAGAAACATCAAAAAGAACATAACGAATATAAAATAACGAATGAACATTCAATAGTTAGATTAAATTCGTTACATCTATACTGGTGTACAAACACTAAAAAGCGTGAACCAAACAGTGCTAAATAGAGCAATATAGTGTGGACTACTAGTTTCTTATAGAAAGTCAGTGCAGAAAAAAAAATTAAAAGATGTATTATGTGGTATAGTCAATAGCGTGCACGTAATTTTAAACCAATCAAACTACTTGAGTATCAGCTGTTTATATCCCGGGTTTATATCTCATATCGTGGAAGAATGGAAGTCAGTTAAACTAAGTTAATTTGTCAAAATAAAATAAATGTAAGGAATAACATTCATCGCGCAGTAAATCATACGGTGTAAAGTCAACCGATTATAGTGCGTATCCGATGGTATATATAAGATATGAATGTGAACCGCTGATCAATGTCTCGTGAATTCTGCCAGTGACATCTATGAATCGACTTTCTCGAGGTGAATGTGACTTTCCATGTGCATGTGATATTGGAAAATTACAGTGTGTTTGAAATAGAAGGTAGTTGAGGACTAAATAATTAAAAAACATCAGTCTGGAGGTTACAATTTAAGCGCAAGTGCAAATTAGCTTTTATACTATTAGGAGGACAATGGCACTTTTCACTAATGACGTCATGTTTATTTCGGCAAAGTGCATCATGGTATTGATAAAAGGATGAAGATGGCGGATATCTTTATAAAATGACAAAATTTCTTTCCAAGATTAACGTTATCCATTGTCGAGGTTGTCCGCCGCTCATTAGCATAACTTTAACCAATCACAAAATGGCTCTTGAAATTCTAAACAACATGCATACATTTTCTGTAGTAATTAAGAAAAAAATATAAATTTTTAATGGAATCTACTGAGCTTTTGCAGAGCTTCTTAATTAAGTAAAAGATCAGTCTGTGCGAAGAAATGAGAGCTTATTGTTAAAGGGCTACTTGGACGAAAATTTCGAATCATTAGAAAAGACTTGGAAATCAAATAGACCTATCCATATGGGTTTAATAATCATGAAGCAGCAGATTTCAAGAAAATATTCATGAAAATCCTTGATAATTTGGACAAAAAAATGTTGGAGTAGATGACGTCATTTACTCCATCCTTTTGTTCTTCCATATTTTGAATCAAAATTTATCTGATGTGCGATAATTACAAAACAAATATTTTCCCGCAATTGTTTTTAATAGATATCAATGAGTCATATATTTGTATTGCTTGAAGTTTTGAAATAAGGCCATTTTCATGCAAGTAGCACTTTAACAAAACAGCCTGGTTCACAGAAACATGGCGTTCAGTACTTCAATCCCATAGTGCATATCGGTGAATACCTCATGACGTCATAAGCAGAAAGGAGCACACACACACTACAACACCACCTGACGGACATGTACTGGTACCTCACACAAAACAAAAAATATCTTAAAACTCTGAATGAACGCACCTCACAACCTTGGACGAGACACAGGGGACTGGATCCCATCAAGTCTCGTTCGTCCTCGTCATAGATCTAGTTTACGATGCAATTTAAGATGTTTAGATGTTAATCAGGATGTAATGTGTTGATTCTTTTATAGATTTAAATCTTTATTTAGATTTAAGATTCAGAATTCTAGCTGTCAGGARGAGATAAAATCTGTAGGTCGTTACAACCAGCGGTTGGCGTAGCTTGGTGAGGCACACTRTAGAGMGAATTTCGCACGACTGTGCAAAGGTACGGATCATGGCACAGACTAGACCCCGCTTGRCACGTCACCGAACCGCGCCTAGTAGTGACACCAAATGAAAATACTGATTCAAGAATACATCACCGTCACTAKTTTTTTYTCACAGTCATACGAAATTTGCTGTAACGTGTAAAGATGAACGAATGAAAGAAGAGAAAAAGAACAAAAAAAGCAGGGGGCCGGTTGTAAGAAGGGTGAATAGCTCTATCCATGATAAATCCTTAGACCTTAACCAGTGAATAAAATCCAATACAAAAACTAAGGAGTGGATAACTTTAACCGGTGGATAACTTCATCCACCCTTTGATCAACCGGCCGCAAATGCCTTTCAGAAATAGCTAGTTTTCCTTGAGATTTAATTGAGAAAAACCACCCTTGGAAATATTGTCGGTTTGAGCAAAATAAAAAAATAAGAAAAACTCTTTTGATAGTGACTATGGCCACCTTGAAGTAACCAAATGAAAGGTAAGTAATTTGGAAACGGGGAGCGAAGAAGGAGGCGTTGAACTTGTAATATTTCTCATCCTTACCTCTCCTGACAAATCAAACAAATCCTGTTCACTCTCTCCAGGCCTTCTCGCCATGACGTCAGCTATTTCTGGGTCCAGGTCCGGCGAAGCAGGCTGTTTATAGAACTTCTGGTCAACGTAYTTTAGTCTGATAAAGGTTTGGCGTTCTTCCCTTGATATTTAGAAATAACAATAAATGTATAACTAAAAAAACTATATACATGAATGAATTAGAGATTTTGTAATTGCAAATAATTTTAGCAGCATGATTGTGATCACAAAAAGAATGTATACAAATGTAGCCAAGGCTGCTATGATTTTATGCAGTGTTGTCACTTATCAACTGTAGTACGCTAGGTCATCAGAAATGTCTGTAAATGCTCCCAAAAGCGAATTTCTGTATACAATATGTCTAATATAATATGAATCAAATGAAATACGTGTACACGCTCGTATCAATTATCCTTTGAGATACCCAGGTTTTGTAACCGGATAAAAAATATTCCTGGAACAGAAWACCTCTTGCACACGATATAGTCTCCTATCGCAGTCGTTACTTGATTCGTTCTCATGTCTTTCCGCACAAATGGATTGACTAGGCATTATATATTAACATAAAAATCACACTATTCCAATTCTTATGTTGTTTTTAGAATCACAAATAYATAACTTACTTAGAAGAATCTCTTGTAGGTTTGACGTAATCGCCCAAGTCTCCTTCAAAGAYCATGTTYGATTTAGTGTTTCCCATGGCTTCCATAAACTAAAAAAGCAACAACAAACAAACAAAACATTGGGTGATTAGAAAAGATGCACTTTCTCCGTGAATCATATGGTACAAAATAGGCGTTATGATGTAATTCTGTTCAAATTTCTGTTTATAATCAAGCTTTGAAAAGCATGAAATATCTAGTGCGCATGGAAGTGCAAACGTTTTTTTTTTTTTTGAAAACGCAAGGTATTATTTATTTATTTATTTATTTATTTATTTATTTATTTATTTATTACAGAGAATTGAAAAGTATTTAAACTTGTAAATTAGTTTAAGAGAAGTACATGTTTGAAATTCAAATAAATATACTGAAGAAAATAGTAGGGCAAAATGTCGCTCCCAATTTAAATGAGATCAAGACGACGACATTCAACTTGACTTTGTTACGACTATAAACAAGTTTGACGTTCTGAGTCTACGTTGTTAGGCTATAGTTTCTCTTTTTCCTGTTGCATAATCAACACATACTGACCTCTACCGTCGTATCCTCCCATTTATCAAGTGTAAGTGATCGTACTTTTGATACATGGACCCCCATACTACGATGAACTCCCGAACACTCGATACAAACTGTAATACCAAGATTAATACTCGCCCAGTCTGGCCCTAAATGGTAGAACGTTTTGTGAGCAAAAACGTAATAATCGTTTATAGAGGTATTCTGGCATAGTTCTTATCAAAGGCCCAGTTGCAACAAACGAATTTGTACAGGAACTAAGTGGCAGTTGGGACCAAAAAAAACCCGTTCCCATTGGCATTACCGCTATTTTTGCAGTTTTCTTCGGGCAAAATGTTAATTTTCTTGAAAAAATAATTTTTTTGCTAGAATTATATCTCTATTATAAAACAACGAGAATGCATTACGGTTATTCTCTTTTGTAGTTAAATGCAAGAAAAAAAATTAATCGACCACGAAGGGACTCGAACCCTCAATCTCTCGATTCGAAGTCGAGCGCCTTATCCATTAGGCCACGCGGCCGTTCCAACGAGGAAAAACAGTAAAACGTTGGTAAATATAACAAAGTTGTTTTCGTTTGAAACCATTAAACCAAGAAAAGTTTATAAAACAATGCTTGTTATGTGGCGACATACAAAAACAAAAGATACCTGCTACATTGTAAAAATTGCAATAGCCGGAAGAACCTCCAACGGAAGCAACAAGAGACAAACAAAATTTTTCAATTAGAGATTATCAAGTAATAAAATCAATAATACTCAAAAGCAATTTTGAAAAAACCCTGAAACGGCGGAATATTAATCGTTTAACCTTATTTCACACCTGCAGACAATTATTCACAGGTATCTATCATTGCGTGCTCAACGGTCGTCTCGCTTCGACGCAAAGGCACAGCTACCTTCAAGATGGTGCAGGGAACCGTGAAGGAGACTGCACGATCGAAAGGGGCCATGGGTTTTGATATTTGATGGGAACTAAGTGGGAAATTATAATTGATTTATAATGTAGGATAGCCTGTGGCAAATATTGCCTCCATTTAATCTTCATTTTCATGCAAAGTGGAACCCAACGAATTGTGTGTGTCATACATCGCAACCATAGTCTCTTTCGGTCATGCAATATCCGTTCGATATTCGCCCATTCTCCCAGACAACGCTTTTAAATATAGGTATTTAAGAATCTAAAGAAATTGACTTACTTGGGGAAGAGCAATCGGCACAGTATTTGTTGCCGTCGACTTTTCTTATTCTCTCTGCAGCATTTAGAACCAGAGACCTGGCTTCCTTAACAGGTCCTGCATTACTTGCTAAATTGGACCTGGCGAGAGACTACAGCCGAACCGTGCATCAAGAGACGGAAGGAAGAAACGTACAGTCATAGAGAGGGAAAGGGGGGTAGGGGTAGGGAGGGGATTTGTGAAAATGCTTCGACTTTCTTGTATTCTTACCTGTAATTTTGCTTTGGAATTCCGTAATGCATCTGCAGTTGCTTCCTAAAATTAAGACAAGAATAATTTATTTTTCCTTCTGAATTTAATCGTTATCTTTTGTAATTATTTATTGATTCATTCAAACTTCATCTATCCATTCACCTAGCCTCCGTAACAGACATCGGTTTCCTCGGTTCCCTTCAGCACAAAATGTCTGAGTAGTGACACGACCATACACCCACTGATTTACCATGAGACTATCAATTCACCCACCCGTACTTATTCCTTCCAGGGGCGGATCTAGCATTTTTACAGACTAGTTTCCAACTAAAAAAATGTTGTATTGACATATGATAATTAATTAAAACATGAATATTTATAACATCGGCCTGAAAAAAA